ACATCGAGCCATCCGCGTTCGCGCATCCCGTGACCGCCATTTTATCGCGCGCGCGCGCGCCTCTCACGGAAATCCGTAACGACACCCCGAGCGCACTCGTTGCTCGAAAACCGTTGGCGACACCTTCCGGCTTCGAGTATCGGTCGCACGCCGCAGCCGGTATAACATTGCTCTACATAGTACCTCGGGGAGTACGGACGAGTGTGACACCGAACAGCCAAAAGGAAAGAGAGGGCCCAGGAGCAGGAGACATTGTTGTGCGATCGGCTTTCGCGGACGGCACCGGAATTACTCGAGCAGGGACGGCTTTGCCAGACTGTCGCCTCGTATATAACCTCTACGGTTCTCTACGGTTGATTCCTTCACGCCGCCCTTGCCCTTTTTCTTTGTTCCTGGAGAACCAATACGAGTCTTCGTACTCGAGTGTCTTTTGTTTTTTCTCTTCCTTCCACAAACCGCAAACGGTCCCAGTAACAGTCGCAGGCCGATTCTTTCTGCCGATACCGAACTTGACAATCTTAAACCGGTCACACAGTGTTACTGCCAGGACGATTTGCAAATCGCGCGGCTACGCTTAGGACGCCCTGGTTCCACGCCACTCCTATTGGTTAACGTTCTCCTGACAGTGTGTTCTCGCGTGAATGATTTTGTGCGTCTCTCTGTGCCAAAGAGTTCATAATTACCTCGTGCTGTGCGCAGTGACAATTTCACGTTTATTGGAAATATTGTGTACATCAATTAATCCGAGCTTCATTACGGCGAAGTGCAAAATAATTGAAAACTTGAAGAAATCTTCGCGTAGCCACGTTTTACCTACCCTCTACTTGTTTTACCTATAGATATACAGTGTTGCGCGAAGTGCAGAATAAGAAGTCTCAACGTGACTCAATGTGCCATTCTAAAGGAATCAGCCCAGGAAACGTGTCTAGTCCCGCAAACATAGCCAAAGCCCTTTTAAACATTAAGATTGAAGCATATCTTCGAACGAGTATCGCGTATAAGTGGTGGATCCTAATCTTTCTATAGAGAGCGAGAGAGAAGGAATAGGAGAGCCGGAGGAGTGACTCGAACGTGAAAGAAAATAATAGGACAGAGAGTGCGAGTGTGAGAAAGTGTCAGAAGGACAGAAACACCAAAGCTGGTATCGGCCAAGTATTATTATCGTTAGTTGGATACGCATCTTGTCGTTAAAGAACGTCGTCCGGCCGTTCGAATATTCTCAGTAATCATCAGACGACACTTATCGCGATCCTGCTGCTTCGAGGAAACGATATACATACGAACCGTAGTGTCCAGGAACGATTGCCAAAGTAAGGAGGAGGATCTATCAGGAATTTATTAGGAATGCAGGAGAGGTGAATGTGCCAAATTAACTACGTAAATAAAGAAGGTATAGACCGTCGTCATCGTCGACGCCGCTTGCAATGACAGGAGGTAAAGTCGCATGGCTTCTATAGCCAGTCGCCCTTAACATTCCTATTGTAAAAGTATAAAACGATTCCAAAGATGACATAGGAGTGAGGAATCCTGAAGTTTTCTTAATAGGAAATAGAAGAAGAAGAAGAAGGGTGCATCATCTCAGAGACCATAACAGTGGGTCGGTATAACAAAGTATTATTCTACATTGTGAAAGGTTACGTCCGTCGTAACACCGTCGAAAGATGCCGCAGTGCGCCGTGGCGACATGCCGCAACAGTCATCGTCGTACTCGAGGACGACGAATACGCTACCATCGATTCCCACAGATACCAGAAGTTCGCTCGAGATGGGTACGTGCCTGCGGTCGTGTACCGCTCTCGAATGGCGATGCACCATTTAATATACAAACGGCAAGGATATGCTCTTTGCATTTTACAAATGACTCCTACGAGAAGGATATGGAACACTTGGTGCTTGGACTTCCGGTACGCAGTAGACTACGACGTGGCGCGGTACCGACTATAGGAGTCCCGGTAGACGTGCAGCCCGTGACGAAGATGCTCGTCGAGGACGCCAAGCGTTCCCTGCTGAAGGTCGCGCATGCGAAATTAGTGGCAGGACAGAAGATCACGAATGGCGCGGGTAACAACGAGGCGTCACGACAGAATCACCAGAGACAACGGTTCATCGTGTCGCCGATGAAGAGCCAGTCGCCCCCGTCGGGTTGTCAGGAAAACCGACAAAGGAGTCGTAGCAAGAACGTGACCGAGCAAAAGATGGCCGGCATTGATGTTCTCCTTGCGCTCGGACTGAAGCCCGCTTCACGGTGAGTCATCAGTCTCTCCATCCCCCACGTAGACCTACGGAGTATACCCTGGGGTAGTAACCAATCACCACTATACCTCTACCACCACCACCACCACCACAATCACCCTTGCTCCGCTCCGTGGTGGTGGTCTACCTACTCTGGTAAGGCTCAAAACCAAGGGGTGGTCCCCACTTTCGTCCCTCTCTGACTCCCTTACTGAGAGCATCTTCTGATTCTGATTTTGTACGATCCCTTCTCTCCTCCTTCTTCTTACTACTCTCTCTCTCTCTCTTTCTCTGCCTAAACCGGCACTCCCTTAGTCTGCAGCAATCGTTGCCCTTCTGCGCGAGGAAGAGGTTCAGAGCGACGAAAGGGGCGACGGCCCCGACCTCGTCTTCTTCTCTGTAGATCCAAGTTTCCCTTTTCACGAGTGAGAGTGTCAGTGTGGCCCCGTTCGACGGGAAGTCGTCCCTGACTTGTTAACCACCTAACCTAGAGAAGGGAGACAGAGAGATAGCTGCAGCACGAGAAGAAAGAGAGAAAGAGCCACAGGTACCAGGAGCCACAGTACCAGCAGACAGACAGATAAGCGAATAGATATAAACCCGACGGAAAGAGACAAATGGATTCTCGTGACTGAGAAAAAAAAGGAGAGGCCAAACGTCCCACTTATAATGGACGGTTAAACAACGGTCCCAAGCTCCATCGGACTCGGTCGACGTGATTCGGCCTTGGGCGTTCAGGGACGCTGCCCGTCCGGACGCTCGACCGCTCTTCCGAGCCTCTTCGAATTGGGTCGAGACACGAGCCTCTCGTAATCCACTATGTCAATGATAATAATAACGCAACTTCGAGCAGCACTGACAGCGCCGTACCGCGGGGGTTTCTTTCCTTAATCTTTTTCTTCTTCTTTTCACCTTCGATCTCTCGTACCATACTTGACCTCTTGGCATTTTCGAAGATCATTTTCAAGACCAAACGATCAGGTCACATCCTTTGTTACGTTTTTTTTCCATGTCTTTTCTTTTTTTCCCCCTTTACAAACTTTCCGTCCAGATTTCCTTTTTCATTTTACTCGACAAGCACGCCACCGGAGAACAGGACACCAGGCGCGAAACTGTCTACCAGCTCGCGAAGCAGGAGGCTACAAGGTCCCATGTCGTCGTCGTAGACCCAACCTCATCCAACCTAACTAGAAACCCTTCCCCGCCCTTTTCTTCCTTCTTCACGTACAAACCAGGTCCCGTCGAAGTCCCCCCTCCTCTCCCCTACTAGCTACACTAGAGTCTCTTTGACACGTTACGTACTACACGCGGGTTACCCGTGCGCTTGCGTGCACGCATGCAGCGTGCGTGCCCAGGAACGTGCGAACCTGCGTGCACGCTACTGTATCTCGACATAGTCGGTTGACAGTGCTAAACGTTCGCATGCAGAGGGTTACGTTATGCCTAATGACAATTATATTTTATAAATCAGTTAACTGCATTGTAATATTCTATCAGTTGATATCCACGCCGTTTCATAGTTATTTTCTGAAGAAAAAAAAAGACTCAATATCTCCACTCAATTAAACCATCATCCCTGGTGCCTCGAGATCGACGCTCGATGATCATCTACCAGCGAGGTTAGGATCATTGGTGGGGGAGGCCGCGAACCTGTAGTTCGATCCGTAGGGACCGGGTCCAGGACCATCTCCACCTTTTTCCCATGATCCACCGCACTCTGGCAAATGATTTCTGCTTGGAACGTGTCAAGGTCTTTTTTACTCGAAAGAGTTGAAAGTCATTGGGGTACCACGGAAGTGTGATCCTCTGAAAGAAAATTAGAGGGTAAATGGCCTTTAATTATTTTCTGCTGTTTCACTCACGCAAATGATTCCTGAGGTGGATCGCCGTTACCTCAAGGGGGTTGTCTCTCGCCGTTTACCCCTCATCTCTATTTCAATGTCGTTTCGTTCCTGGGGAATCGAAACGGTTCGACCCCCGGGGAATACGGCGCACCGACCCAGCGTGGCCTCTCGTTATTCGTGTACCGCCTGTGCTAATAAGAGAGGGAAGATTTTTGGTTGTCAGAAAAGGCGACTTTTCGTAGGATGACTTGTGCACTATATCTGCATCGTGTAAAGTGCAGTGAACGAGCGTGCGAGTGCAACGAACTCCGGCTGGTATCAAGTCTCGCAGTCGAGCAGACTCGAGCATATTAGAAAGATAGGAGGAGTGAGAGAGAATGATTCTATGTGTGAGTTGTTATATATACGCACGAGAGTGAGAGAGAGAGTGAGAGTGAGAGCCCAAGAGAGACAAGGAGAGAAAACGTATGCGTTAACCCCGCCGCGGTCACCTTCTATTCTAGAGCACGGACCAGAGTAGCATTTCGTAGGGACGCGGACAGGCAGGTCGGCCATTAGTAGACGCCATTTTAAAGATTCGTATTGGACGAATTTCGCACGTGGTATAGTCAGTGTGCCGATGACGATCGAGCGAGGAGCCAACGCAGTGGTTCTTTTTCCAGTCAGTCAACACTTTAGAGTAGGTAGGATCATCCATCTGGTATCAGAAGCCGAGACGTTGATTACGACCTTCGTAGGACCGAATCGGGGTCAATTCGTGGTAGACGTCGACGTCGGCGGCGTCGCCGACAGAACCGGATGTACGTTTCTCTCTGTTTGACGTGCCTCTGCGCGCGCGGTGCGCAGTGATCGAGTTAGCTCTACCGCGTCTAATGCGGCTGGTGTTCGGCTTAATGGAACTTTCATGAGCGATTTCGGTTTCAGCCTGAATAAGATGCACGCGATGGATGGAGCTGGTGGAAATGGCAAGAGGGACGACGGTACCCATGGATCGCCGAAAGTACCTCAGAGCCAGCAGAACGGAGCTGCGCTACCGGAAGAAGAGGCTGGTGTCACCGCCTCGACCACCCTTAAACGCATCGCGTCCGTTGCCATTAAGAAGGAACCTATATCCGAGCCTGAGCAGGAGGCTACCGATGTTGTTGCTGAACTCCAAAGAGACGTCAACCCCACGAGAGTGCTGAGGTCGGAAGGAGAGAGTAGAAAACGGAGGTCCACCGATGAGGGTCTGTCGGGCAATGAGAATTCTGCGTCGAAAAGGGCCTGCTTCGAACAGCGCGAACACTTCATATCTTCGTTGGTGGGAAGCGACAAGGTGTCTGCCGATGAGCTTGCTGCTAGGGCTGATCAACTTAGAGCTGAAGTTCAGGTGGGTTTAGACTTTAGTTTTACGATGATTATACACGGGCAATGTGTGCTGTGCTGGTTGGATTTGTGATTTATGTCCTTTTTCGATTCTTTTAGGCACTGGATGAGTTAGCTCGCGCCAAGGAAATGGAGTGGAATGAAATTTTGAGCATGAGAAAGCTTAAGGAGGAAGCTTATCTAAGAATCGAAAGGCGACGACAGGTCGTTGGCTATATGGAGGGAAATGCTCAGATAACCAAGACACTTCCACCTGCTACTTTGGCTCTGGGTCCTGAATGGGATGGAAATGGTTCCAATACCACTACGAATACTACCTCCGGAACGGCTGCTAATACTCTGGCTAACAAGGATAAGGCTGGTTACGCATCCCAGGAGTGTTCCCAGGATGGCTCGCATGATGGTTTCGTCGAGGAATCCTTGCCTCCTACTAAAAAGGAGAAAGTCGCAAGACTTCAGTCACATAGACAAGCATCGCCGTCGCCAAAGCAAAGTGAGAATGGACGTAAACAGTCGATTGATTCGCAGAATCTCGAGAACAGACAGATCGGCGAGGGTCGACAAGGTCCTATCGTCGACGTTCGATCCATCATAGCTGATTACAGGCTGCGACATCCTGAGACTGTTCCTAGAAGGTGAGATAATTCTATCTTTATTATTCGTAGCGCCTTTTAGTCGCTTCGGTGCAATGAAATGTTGAATGGAAATTATTATACGGACCTAGGGGTCGCAGGATGAGGAATTCCGTGAACGTTGGTCTCGGAGCCGGTGGTGCCATGGTGGAAACTACAGGACACACTGTGGATTCTCGACCCTCCAGCACGGATTCCTGTAAGAGCAATCCTAATGCAGTCGACCCAAACAGCTCCATGAGTTTCAAAGACGTTCTTGTACAATTTGCCAAGCTCAGCCAACAACAAGGTAACGCAAGAAGATGATTGCTCTGTCTCTTCATTCCTTTTACTATAGCGTCAGGAACTGATTAATGATTTCAATATCATCTTATCCTCAAAGGAGAACCCGTAAAAACACCGCAAAACTATCCAGACGTAACACTTCATCCAGTGGCACCATCCCCATCGCCGCAAAACACACAATCTCAAACAGCTGGCTCTCTTCTCCATGGCATTCTCACAAAATCACAATCACCAAGGCCCACCACGTTCTCACCAACGTTGGCAAGACTTCTCACGGCTCCGGAGAGAGAACGAAGTGGTCCAGCAGCCACATCCACGCCACAACAAACCACAGCAACGCAGCATCTACTTCAAGCATACCAAGGATCGAATCCTGTGTCCATTAGCGATCTTCTCTCCTCATCCAAGGTTAGTCACCAGCCAATCCATGATATCGGATTGTCATCCAATCAAGATGATCCAAGAATAAACAAAATATATGTTGTATGCATCATTAATACAATTTTGTTGTACAGGCACGAACGGAAATAACGATCACGCCAGTCGTTAATGCACCAACAGTTCAATCCCATTCTAACAATCTTATTCACGTAGTAAGTATACATATGCGAATTCCAATCAATCCTCAAGTGAATTCAATATTGCAACGTTATCTCTTGTTTTTTCCAGGATGACGTCGAAGAGGAGACGACGGTGATCGAGGAACGTAGCAGTCGAGTATCTTCTGGTTCCAGGGACAATAGGGATGATCGTGATAGCCCTCCTCGGTGTCAAGGATGCCACGAGCGCGCTGCACAATTTGTTTGTGCTGGATGTGGAAATCAATGGTACTGCAGTCGTGAATGTCAGGTGAGTTATACATCTTGTAACGTAATTCTTTAACTTATGACCCGACACCGATAGCAAAACATACGAGAACGACTATCTTCGAGAACCAACCTGCGTTACCTTCGGCCGTCCACCCGTCGTTCGTGCATCCGCAAGCCAGGCGGCCGCCAGCCAATTCTTTTTC